AACACTACTAAATATTACCAAACCTAAAGTCAACACTACTAAATATTACCAAACCTAAAGTCAACATTACTGAATATTACCAAACCTAAAGTCAACACTAGTAAATATTACCAAACCTAAAGACAACACTACTAAATATTACCAAACCGAAAGACAACACTACTAAATATTACCAAATTTAAATTCAACACTAGTAAATATTACCAAACCTAAAGTCAACACTAGTAAATATTACCAAACCTAAAGACAACACTAGTAAATATTACCAAACCTAAAGTCAACACTACTAAATATTACCAAATTTAAATTCAACACTAGTAAATATTACCAAACCGAAAGTCAACATTACTAAATATTACCAAATTTAAATTCAACACTTCTAAATATTACCAAACCTAAAGTCAACACTACGAAATGTTCTTGGAAAAGCAAAAAAAAAGTAGAAAATCGTTCATTTGAATTAAAAGTATAGAATAAAAAGTCATTCTCAATAGCGTCTAGTTACATTTTCTTGTTTATTAGCACTAGATAAAAATCACTACATCATTTCGAAGTTAAATGTTATTGTTTTTTATTGTTGTTGTGTTCTATTTTAGTTGTATCTTGGAATAATAATTTTACAGTCCTAGTGTGTTTCTGTAAAATATATTATAATCACAATATAACACTACACAGTCGTGTGTCATCTCTAAGTCATTTATAAAACTTTTTATATATGTATAGATACACTTTCTTAGACACGCTTACACCCGACGGAGTCAAAGGTCAACTGACCATTCGGAACACGGATAGAAGAGACTCCGCTCTGTTCACCTGCAAGGCATCAAATGTATATGGGCAAGATGAAACTAATATTCAGCTACTTGTTCAAGGTAAGGAATTGGTGAAGAATTATTATAAAAAGTTACTGGTTGAAGGTAAATATTTAAATGAACAAGTTGGAGTTACTGGTTGAAGGTAAATATTTAAATGAATATGTTGGAGTTACTGGTTGAAGGTAAGTATTTAAATGAACAAGTTAGAGTTACATTAAGATGAATATAAGCAAAAGTCACATTGATGTTCAAGAGTCTGAATCAAACTAAGTTTATAAGTTTTTTCAGCCGTGAATAAGTAAAAAGAATGTTTCTAAATCAAAGAAACAATAGTATGTATTCTTCAGGTAAACTAGATATACAGCTCTAAAAGTGTCAAAGGGTTAAGTTATAAGCTTTTGATAGTAGCTAAACAGAGTAGCATCCCCCCACCCCCCGGTGGCTCAGTGATATTGTTTGTTTTATTTTGAATGCAAAGCTACAATTCGAGAATCGAACCCGAACATTGTAAATCAGTGAACTTACTACTGACCTATTGTTCGATTGGTAACAAGTGTATAACATTATTGTCGTTTCATGTTGTTATTAGAAGAATAGTTAAAAGCTATACAAACGAATAACTCATAATTAGATAATAAAATCATTTAAAATTTGAATCATACCAGGTATATGAATGAATTTTTTATCACAGTAATGAATCTCATTTCAAACATTTTTACCTTCCTTATTGTCGCAGCATTTAAAGATCATACATAAGGTGTACTTTCTTATTGTAGTGGTACTAGAATCTCCCTGACTAAAGGGTACCTTTCTTATGGTAGTGGTACTTGAATCTCCCTGAATAAAGGGTACCTTTCTTATGGTAGTGGTACTAGAATCTCCCTGAATAAAGGGTACCTTTCTTATTGTAGTGGTACTAGAATCTCTCTGAATAAAGGGTACTTTTCTTATGGTAGTGGTACTTGAATCTCCCTGAATAAAGGGTGTCTTTCTTATGGTAGTGGTACTTGAATCTCCCTGAATAAAGGGTACCTTTCTTATGGTAGTGGTACTTGAATCTCCCTGAATAAAGGGTACCTTTCTTATGGTAGTGGTACTAGAATCTCCCTGAATAAAGGGTACCTTTCTTATGGTAGTGGTATAGTTTATTCTCCTTACATACACCGTACCTTCTTCATGATACTTGTACTTAAGTCCCTTTAAATAAACCTTACCTTTCCCATGATTGTGGTATCTGGATCTCAGTAGATAAACCTTCCTCTCCCATGATTTTGGTACCTGGATCTCAGTAAATAAACCTTCCTTTCCCATGATTGTGGTACCCGAATCTCAGTAGACAAACCTTCCTTTCCCATGATTGTGGTACCTGGATCTCAGTAGATAAACCTTCCTTTCCCATGATTGTGGTACCTGGATCTCAGTAGATAAACCTTCCTTTCCCCTGATTGTGGTATCTGGATCTCAGTAGATAAACCTTTTTTATCTATGATAGTAGCACCTGGATCACAGTAGATAAACCTTCCTTTCTTATAATTTTGATACCTGGATCTCAATAGATAAAGTGAAATGTCCTTTCTCTATGAATCACTTCAAAATTTTCTATTGATTTTCGTAAGGTTTCTGATGTAATGTTATCATTTTCCAGAGCCCCCTGATAGCCCCCAAGATGTACGAGTTCAAGACTTTGGCAGCAGGACAGTGACTGTCGCTTGGTCGCCATCATACAGTGGTAACAGCCGCATCACAATGTATATTGTCAGTCATCAGAGAGCTGACTTCAACATTGGAGGTGACAGTGTAATGATTTTCTGTAAACCTAAACGTCCTAAGGACGTGTTACTGACTGTACATTCGTACATCCAAGTATAATAATAAATTCGGATGTAAGACTTGTCAGTGTTAATTGATTCAAACACAATTGTTAAGTCTAACTTTGAATGCTCTCAGTGTTATAACCGTATAACTTACAATGTGTTTCCGTAGGTAACATGGAATCAGAAGTGACTGTCCCTGCTTCCAAGACTAAGGCTATTATCACGGGTCTCTCCCCAGTGACAACATATTCTTTCCGCATCTCAGCTGTAAATGACCTTGGACAAAGTGACCCTAGTAGAGTTGTGGTGGCCACAACTGACCAAGAAGGTATATTACACGTATTAGGTGTGAAAATGTTTATGAAACACATGTGAATTTGTTTTCCTCATAAAAGTAACAAAACTATTTGTTCTAAGTATAACAAGCAACCACAAAATGTCTGCAAAAATTAAGTGTGATTAAGGGATTCTTGTGTATTCATCCCTATTTTGTGGCATCATACTTTTTTCGCCTGTTGTTATTAAACAATTTCATTGAGGTAGGTTGATAAGTTAAAATTTATTTTAATAATTAATTGGTAATATACTGTTAAGTTTCTCTAATTTTGGATTACATCGGGGGCCAGCGAAGCTGGAATGGTTTCTCCAGGATGGTACACGTACCCCAGAGTACTGGACCAATGTTAAGTGAATATTTACAGAACCCACGCCTTCCAGCTTCACCCCAACTCACTGTGTGTACATATAATTGATGACCACATGCCATGGTCAGATCAGTTAATGGTGAGGATATCATACGGATCCCAGGTTTTGAAGTATGATACAACGCATACTCACACACACCTGCCGGGCTCGGCCTCACTGAAAATTAGAAGAAAAGTAGACTGCTATATAATGTATTGTTTTCATAATTTACAAAATGGCGTTTTTAAATTCAGACATCAATAACCTATACACAGATCTGTCAGTTGCATAAATACTTGGTCTCCATGATATCTTGAATATTAATTTAGATTATTCTTTATTTATTTTTTTATTTTTACTAAAATTGTTTGGGCATATATCATATTTGTGCAATGTAAAGTCACAAAAGATCGTTATTTAAAAACAATTTGTGCTGCCATCTAATGAACAGAAATTAAACTGTTGTTTATGAAACGTAAATAATATATGCTTATAAACTGAAGTCACTGCTAAATAGTAGTTTTCCTTTTTATTATTTCCCCATAGAAATATATGTGTGGTGGAAGAACAGAATAATATTACTGTTATACAAGCTGTGAAATACTCGATAATAGCAGTTAAATGCTCAAATAAGGCTATACTTCAACTTTACTAGTTATTTGTAACCATCATATAGTAATAGAATGAATGCTGCTGTCATTTGTTCATCCCTACACACTAAGCACTGCTATGCTACAAACTTACATATACCTATTGTGAGCATAATACAGACACACACATATAGAAATGTGTTTGTTTTATCTTGATATAATAAGAATGTGTGTTAGCATTTATATTCAGTATTGATATTATAAAAATGTGTGTTAAACAATGATATTCAGTATTGATGTCATAATAATGTGTGTTAAACAATGATATTCAGTATTGATGTCATAATAATGTGTGTTAAACATTGATATTCAGTATTGATATCATAATAATGTGTGTTAAACATTGATATTCAGTATTGATAATGTGTGTTACGTTTTGTGCATGCATCCAGAGGGTAAAGGCGTTATGAATTAAATGCTACTCTTGTGTACCATTGTTTTCTCATATAAATCATCCATCATCACAATTGCATTGGTGTTTTTATAATGCTGGTAGCGTCCGATAGAGAGCGCCAGTTATGTATCAATAATTTGTATTATTGGAGTGATATCATTAATGTGTAGCTATATGTCTTATGTTAATTTTGTTCCATTTTAAGAATTATGACTGAGATTAGATATATCAATATGAATAGTATAATTAGGATTAACAAAAGCATTGTCTTCAAGTCAGATAAAGGTGGCTTGGAAGGTATCTTTTAATACAACTAGTATAATTAGGCTTAACATAATTCATGCTTGATTTTTCCTCATCAGCACCTGGTGGTCCTCCTTTATTTGTTCAGGTTCAAGCATTGTCTTCAAGTCAGATAAAGGTGACTTGGAAGGTATGTTTTACTACAAGTAGTATAATTAGGCTTAACATAAGTCATGCTTGATTTTTTTAATCAACACCTGGTTGACTTTAGGTTCAATGAATTGTTACGTCTCCGTTCGTTAGTTAATTTTCCGTAACTTTGTTCCCACGAAACTTTAGCGACACAAGTCCTTTCTTAACAAAACTGGTTTATTCTTTCTGAATAAAACTTTACCGATACACTTATTTTCAACAGTCACTCTATAACAAACGCTATAACAACGAACGTTAACTTCAACAATACTTTCTGACTGCAGTTCAATTACTCACTACCTACACACATTGATTTCGTCACGTTGTGACCCCCCTATATATATACCAGCCTTCCCTATATCTAGTAATCTCCCGACAATTCACGAACGTTCGAGAGAAGGAGTGGCGTGATATAGTCACGTGACCTCGCTGACGCAACAGAATGTTTTCTATCAAGTAAAGGTCACTTGGTAAGTATATTTAAATATCCACGAGGTACATGATAATGAGTAGTTGGTAATTAGAGACAATTACACTTGGATAACAAGGGTCACTTGGTAAGTATATTTAAATATCCACGAGGTACATGATAATGAGTAGTTGGTAATTAGAGACAATTACACTTGGATAACAAGGGTCACTTGGTAAGTATATTTAAATATCCACGAGGTACGTGATAATGAGTACTTGGTAATTAGAGACAACTACACTTGGATAACAAGGGTCTTTGATCTTGCTGTTTAAACCCACTGCGCCATCCCATCAAATAGGATGTTTTCTGAATCAATCTTTTCACATTGAGATGTTAAAAAGTATTATTATTGTTGTTAAAGACTCGTATTTTCAGAATATTCTATACATATTATCAAGTGTTACGCTACATTTCTTCTATTAAATACTAACTATTTTAGTAAAAGCGAGAATGAAGATTATAAGTTCTTTACGTATCCATGCATCCAGGACTTGACCTCACGATACTCTTTACATTATTAGGTAACCATGGACACCATATGTGACTGTTCTCTCTATGTATCCGAAACTTGTCCTCGCTAAGATTAGCGCTAATAGGTAACCATAAAGACGATGGGTTAACGTGGTTACTTTTACAGTTCTCGTCATGTATCAGGGACTTGATTTCTAAATTTATACTTTCCGAAATAATTCATATGTTCTTATAGTCATAGTTGCATCCCCCTACCAACTGTCCACGCCTCCTTGGGGGACACACCCCACAGTTTGAGCACCACGGCACTAAGGTAGTGGGAAGTTTTCACTTATTTGGTTATTAATGAAAGTAAACATTGCTTCCTGACAAATTAATATACTTTTACTCTAAGCCTAGTGTATTGTTAATATTCGCACTAAATATCAAATACTACTAAAAAGATGTTAAGCGGAAAAAAAATAGTGTGGAAGGAAATATCAGCTCATTAAGGTTATCGTATGTTTATTGTAATACATGTAACTTTAGACGTCTGATTGTTAAAAATGATATGGATGTGTTTATGATATAAAACTGGTTTAAGTTTATATGAATATATTAACGATATGAAATTACAATGTCTCTAGCCTCCTAAGACGAGTCAATGGCACGGAAATATTAAAGGGTATTACGTTGGTTACAAAATCACTGATGCTTCAGAAAAGTTCGTCTATAAAACATTGGAAGAGGAGAAAGGATTTAACAGAGAATGTGTCCTTACGAGCCTCCGTAGATTTACACGCTATACTGTTAAAGTTCAAGCTTTCAATAGTAAAGGCACAGGGCCATCATCAGACCATTTGATTGTTAAAACATTAAAAGAAGGTACGGAGGTTTGAACAAACTATTATATCGTTAAATTCTGTATTTACTTTAAATGATTCAGTTTAAATTTTATGTACTTGTTTTTTCGTTAATTTTTGTACTTAAGACCAACTAATAAATATTTATTATTATCATGGTTATATAAGGAAAATGTTCAAGTTTTTTACTGTCACTTAAAGGTTTTAGTTCTGTCTTATTATTATTTTTTGTTGTTTAGTCCTACTTGAAAATATTTGGTAACAACTGATAATGTGTAACTTATTGATGGATGTAAAGCACCGTTTTGATCTTTTCTTTTGTTTAAATTTCAACACATTTCTGATTTATTTTCGTTTCCATCTATTATGATGTCATCAATATTTTCCAGATCCACCACTGGCTGTTGAACTATCTGTTGCTAGGGTGACCTTCACGACCATTGACGTCGTATTGCAGAGGAACCCACTAGACACCAATGTTATTACAGGTATAAACAATTTGTCTTCTCGAGTATCATTTTACAATTTACAGTTATGTACATTGTAGACAGAAATTATTATAAACATAAACTAAATAGAGGAAATAGATAACATTATTTTCACGGTGAGTCAGTGGTAAGTGTATGAACTTATAACATTGTTTTCACGGTGAGTCAGTGGTAAGTGTATGAACTTATAACATTGTTTTCACGGTGAGTCAGTGGTAAGTGTA